TGGATCATAAAATACAGCAAGGAGCACTACAGCAGCTAGAACCACTACAGCTAACAATACAGCAGCCAATAGCTACCGCTTCAGCTAGTAGTGATATTGCTAGTGATACTGCAATGCTAGTGATGCTGCAAGTGATGCTGTAAGTGCTAGTGCTAGTGCTAGTGCTACTAGTGCTAGTGCTACTAGTGATACTGCTACTAGTGATACTGCTAGTGATACTGCTAGTGATACTGCTAGTAGTGATACTGCTAGTAGTGATATGCTATACCTAGCTACGGCACAGCTATATGAGCTACTATAGCTAAAGCAAAGCTACAGATAGTACTACCTAGTACTAGATAGTATAGATATGGAGCTACTAGTACTATTCTTGCTAAAAGTACAACTACTAGTATGTGAAAAATAGAAATAATTTGAGAAAATGAACTAGTAGTAGTTAAGCAGTGGTAGATCTAGTACTGAAATTACAACAAGTAGTACTAGTACTACTTTTTCTGTTACTACTTGTTCTATTTTTCATATAGTAGTAATAATACTAAAATTGTTAATCATATGAAATATTTATTGCTACAGCTAGCTATAGCAATTGTTACTGCTACTATAGTGTGGAAAATGGAAATAGTATGAGAAAATGCAGTAGTACTAGTAGTGAAGCAGAACTGGATCTGCCTAGTACTGAGATTACAACAAGTACTACTATTACTTTTTCTGGTACTACTTCTGGTTTTCATAGTAGTAGTACTATTAATATTTCAATTGAAGAGCTAGAGCTAGAGCTAGGTTTGGAGCTAGGAGGTTTAGGTTTAGAGCTAGAGCTAGAGCTTGAGGTTGAGGTTGAGGTTGAGGTTGAGGTTGAGCTAGAGCTAGAGCTAGAGTTAGACCTAGAGCTAGAAACAGAAATAGAGCTAGATATAGAGCTAGATATAGAGCTAGAGTTAGAGCTAGAAATAGAAAAAGAAATACAGCTTGAGCTAGAGCTAGAGCTACTAGAGCAACAGCAACAGCAAAATAGAAATGCTGCTAGTGATACTGCAATGCAAGTGATACTGCAAGTGAAATTTCAGACAGCACTTTCTGGATATCCAAGTTCTCAACTGCATAAAAGCTGTACTTTCCATCCGAGTGAGAAGTGAACACATCTCCATCTTGCCCAGTTTCTTTGAGAAACTTTTACTTATTTTCCCTTGTCATATTGTAATGTGGCAAAAAGAATTCTGAGGCAATTGCACCATCTGAGAAGTCAGTGAACACTTTATCCAATGCTAGAAAAGGATGCTTTGTTTTGCTATGAATAGCTTCATCCCAATAAGTAAAAATCTCCTCAGGATTCTGCTTCTTTTCTGTGCAATAAATATCAACACATGTGTCGCGGAATGCCTTCTCCACACCTACATCCAACTTAGTGTACTTTGAAGCATTTGGGCAGCATACAATGACAGTTTTGCCATACTTGCTTTGTGGGCTTTGGGGCCGCTCTGGTCCATCTTCATCATGACTGATTCTTCTCTTCAGAGGAATTTGTTGACACCCAGTGTCAAACCCCTCAGGACCTAGGCGCGGATGTTTGNAACAGCAACAGAAACAGCAACAGAAACAGCAACATAAACAGCAACAGCAACAGCAACAGGAACAGCAAAAGAATGGATGCATTTTAAAGAGGCATGTGGTTGGCCAAATGCAATGATCTCAGCAGCATTACTGGTGCTGCTTCAGTACTGTGGCAACAGTAGATCAGTGTAACTACACCAACCAATACACCAAGAACCAATAAACAAGCACCGCACTGGTGATACACAAACACAGCACGACCAATACACAAGCACCACACTGATAAACAAGCACCTCACCAATAAAAACACTCACTCATAAACACTCACCAATATATACTCACTGGTGATACATACTCACCAATAAACACTCACCAATCAACACTCACGGATCATAGAATACAGCAAGGAGCACTACAGCTAGAACCACTACACCAGCTAACAATACAGCAGCAATAGCTACCGCTTCAGCTAGTGATATTGCTACTAGTGATACTGCAATGCTAGTGATGCTGCAAGTGATGCTGTAAGTGATGCTGCAAGAAGTGATACTGCAAGTGATGCTGCTAGTGATACTGCTAGTGACACTACTGCTAGTAGTGATATGCTATACCTAGCTATGGCACAGCTATATGAGCTACTATAGTAGCTAAAGCAAAGCTACAGATACTAGTACTAAATATAGATTTGGAGCTACTATTGCTAAAAGTACAACTAGTATGTGAAAAATAGAAATAGTTTGAGAAAATGAACTAGTACTACTAGTAGTTAACCAGTAGTAGATCTAGTACTGAAATTACAACAAGTACTCGTACTACTTTTTCTGTTACTACTTCTATTTTTCATATAGTAGTAATACTACTTTTATTGTTAGTAATCATAGGAATATTTATTGCTACAGCTAGCTATAGCAATTGTTACAAATGCAGTAGTACTAGTGAAGCAGAAGTGGATCTAGTACTGAGATTACAACAAGTACTACTATTACTTTTTCTGGTACTACTTCTGGTTTTCATAGTAGTAGTACTATTAATATTTCAATTGAAGAGCTAGAGCTAGAGCTAGGTTTAGAGCTAGATTTAGGTTTAGAGCTAGAGATAGAGCTAGAGCTAGAGCTAGAGCTAGAGATAGAGCTAGAGCTAGAGCTAGAG